GTGCAAGGGTGGCGCAAGATTATTGCAAAATTTCATGTTTTCCGTCCCGTTTTGCATGTTTCTCGGAAGCGAAATGAGCAAGAACGCTCGTTTTTTACATCATTCCAGAGATAACTAAATGGCCTTTTTAGAAAGTGAACCATCGATAAGGGAACGTTGCCAGTTTTCTCAAAAAATGCTTGAATTCAAGAAGTTTTTGAGTTGCAAAATCCACTTGAACATGACGCTGCTTGTTTCGAAGTTTCTCAAGAACGATTTGAGCCACAGAATTCGATTTGGCATCGTTAGATGGAGAATTGAATGGGGGGAAACAAAAAATATCGATTATTTCTAAACCGAAGATTCCAGCGTGTTTTTTAATAAGTTGCTTCCATTCCTCGCAATCTTCTGATCAAAACGATGTGAAATTCGACGCATTATGAGAGGCGTGGATTTTTTTGCGGAAAATCGACCCCAATCGTTATGAAAATGAGTTTTTTTCTGAGATTGACTTGCCACCATCAAGACATTCACCTCCCTTGAGGGTGTGGTTCACGTAAATGTTCTTTGAGTTTCTTCAACCAAATATATAATCGTTCGACTCTCGATGGCTATTGAGGGTGTGAACTGGCAAAATGTTGTTGTTAAGAACCCCAGTCAGGTTACGTGAATGAATACATAAAAACCCTGCAAACATTCGGGCGAGTAGAATAAAATGTTCTTTAAGGCCGGTTCGCGTTGGGGCCCCTGATCGACACCTGTTGCACATTCCGGGCCTCAATTTATGCATTAGTATGGCTGTCTAAGTGAAAACTTCAATGCCTGCATAATAAAACGCGAACAGTGCGCTCCCCCGTCCGCTTTTTTGTGCTTGGGGTGCGGAAAATTGACGTGTTTTCCTTTGTGTGCTGGCAGCTTTAAAAATAATTGGAAACGAGTGGCAGAGTCGCACGTTTCACTGGATGGACACGATGCTGCCTGATGATACCAAAAAGGCGAAAAAAATAGCCACTGCACACTGGATGGTCACACAGAATGACTGGATAATCGGAAAACAACTGCTGCCAGCCGGGCACAATCAAATGAATCCACTTATCCATGCTTTGATGGATTCCTTATCCAGTCTGTTGCGATAGCGGCTGTTTTTTCCCCATTTGAACAGTTCCAGTAAACAAAATTATCCGATTTTAAATGTCATTATTCGCAGCCAAAATCAATCATCCTCGGCGTGCGAATTATTGCATAGAGCGCAGTTTGATCGCGTAAATATTCAAACAAAACTGATGGCATGTGAAGCGAAAAAACAAACAACTCGGTTGTGGAAATGACGGTTTGCTTGCAAGTTTGCAGTTTTTCCACGCCAACACAGTATGTGGTTAAATGCAGCGAATGCCAGAGGTTTTAGCGATGTGTGCAATGGAAAAATCTCGTTAGAAGGCTGTTATGGGGTTGATTTTCGGGTTACTAGAGACAAAACTCTGAAGATGGTGCCATGCGTCCTAGCGAAACGTATGGCGCGAATTCCCGTTTCAAACAAGGGTCGCGATTTGAAAGTCGAGCAATACTGCGTTCAGATTGAGATAGAAAACAATGTCCACCACTGTTTTAGTGTAATTTAACGATTTAGCCACCATGGCCTATGATTGTCCACCCCGATATAACGTCTTGTTGCTGTCATCCACAGTTTGCCATTTAATGTGATTTAGTCAGGCTAAAAGGGCCGTCGTTCACGTTTCGAAACTTTCTGAATCTTACTCGAATTAATTGGAGTTGCTAAGTTGCTCTCCTTGCAAGCAGCGCTCGATTCAATTTATCTTTTTAGTTTGACGGCCCAACAAGCTGAAACGGCTCTGGCAAGTTGGAGTGCACCCTGTTACTTTGTCAATTTTTAATTACTTTCTTCGAAACACTGATAGGGATTTAAATTGGGGCCAGGATCGGGCCAGCTGAAACTGCCTTTGAATGGCAATTTTTTGTGGGCGGGCTGCAAAAGCCCCAAACTAGCCGGCAAATCAAACGCGCTGTAAATCAGTCCGATTTAAAATTATTATTTTCGAACCAATTCTGACTGTTTTATTGGTGCAATCCGCGAGAGTCCCATTAGATCCTCAGGGAAGATCCGGTGGCAAGCGGATGCAACTTCGGGGCTGCACTTTGGGATTAAGTCGGCAACTCGACGAAACTTTCGCTGAAGTTTCCAATGATTTAAAGCGATGTGGATTTATAAGGCGATTAGTGCAAAGCGTGGAAAACTAGAGCCGGAGGATTTCGCTTTGCAAAGCTCTATTAGATTTCGGAGTTCGGCACGTGACCAATCAAGCGGCAAGAACTCGAAAGGATTACATGTGCGAGTTTTTCACCACAGCATGGTGCAGACGGTCGCCAGCCAGTTTTCGAGCGGTTTAAAAAGCCGGCAGCCAATGCGGAGGCTGTTATTTTGTGGTATCCATGGTAACATGGGTGGGCGCAGGCAAGGTGCCACGTTGTTTGCACCATCGGAGTGCTATGTAAATCCACTTGCATACAATTTCCATCAAAGACAAATGTTGGTGGCTGTTGGCGTTCGATGGCGAATGAAACTAAGCTGGTCTACTTACATTTCTCATGAAGTGGGGTGAAACTGGCAGCGAAAAAACGCCACAAACCTCCCAAGCGAAAAACTTCGCGCTCTTACCGAGTCTGAATGAGGAGCGGTCGCGTTTCCACCGCCTGCAAATCTGGACGCCGAGTCGGGAGGACTGAAAACGAACATGTTGCTGAACACTGAAGCTGAGCGCTACACGAGCGTCGTTGCCGGCACCCCCAAACCATCCCCGCTGCTAACCACGCAGCTCGCCCTTCTTCACCTGCGAGGGTGGCAACAGCGCGAGGGGCGCACGCTTTGTTTCAGGTGGCTGAGAAATGATAACCTTTCCCGCCCGCCGCCGCCCCATATGTTGATGGGGCCCATCGGAGAAATAATGGCCCCGAAGTTGAGCGATTAGATGTGAGTGGGGCCCACTTGTCTAGAAACGACCAGCCTGCTCTTGGACTGCCAGTGCGGTGCCCCATTTTTTTTGGTCAACCATTGATAGTAAACAACGGATGAAGAATAGTCTTCACTCCAATTGAGATTTTGAAGAGAGAGAACTTCGAAAAATGATCGTCGTCTTGTGCAAGGGTGGCGCAAGATTATTGCAAAATTTCATGTTTTTCGTCCCGTTTTGCATGTTTCTCGGAAGCAAAATGAGCAACAACGTGAGTGAGGAAATTCGAGTAGTTTTGAC